TGCCTCTGCCAGAGGTGGCGCGCGACCCCGCGCAGGATGATGAAGACATGCTAACGCTGTACCTGGTCATTGCCTTGGCATCTGTGTCTTCACTCTTCCTCTTGTCTGTGCTGCTCTTCATCGGGGTAAGACTGTGCAGGAGGGCCAGGGCGGCCCCTCTGGGTGGCTCCTCTTTGCCCGAGGGACACTTTCCTGGTCACCTGGTGGATGTCAGCGGTATGGGGACCCTGTCTCAGAACTACCAGTATGAGGTATGTCTGACTGGAGACTCTGGGACTGGTGATTTCAAATTCCTAAGTCCGGTGATACCAAACCTGTTTCTGGGAGAATCTGAGAGAGAAGTTAAGGAAAGTCCCCACTGCAGGAGTAGTTTTGTGGTCAGCTAAGTATTATTGTGATTGGCTCATCATCTCTCAGTTCAGGTAAACTTCTTATTGTAATTATTCTTTTAAGAAATTGTACTATCTAAACCTTTCCTTTACCAGTAATTCAACCCATGGTATCCCAAATAGCTTTAAACTTGTTACGTTTTATTAATACTATTTTTCCCTAGGATTTTGTAGTTATGGTATTACATACACATTTTCTCTATATTTGCACATCTCTTATTGATTATTATCATTACAGTTAATGAAACTAATATCTTCATGCCATTCTGGAACTTTCGAATGCACTTAAGAAAAATTAAAGTCATGCGTATTTCTGGCACCTATCCTTACCATATAACTTTATGTATTTTTAGGCCTTGACCTTTTGGTTAAGCAATCTGAAGAGCTGTAAAATTTAGCACACTTCTTCCTCCTAAATTGTAGGTAAACACACACTTCATTAAAACATCAGTGCACGGAAGTTGTGCCACCTTGTATCCTAAAGATTGTGGGCTTTCATTCACAAGCATGCTATAAATGACTTCTCAAATAATTATTATGCAATAAAAATTATGGGGAAAATAATCACATGATTGCTCTTCATTTGTGTGTGTGTGTGTGAAGCCAGTCTGTTAAATTACTGGTTTGACAAAATCCTTTAAAAAAGTAATACGAGAAACTGAATTATGAACCAATTTTCTCTAATTGAGGATTCTTGAGGGCATCAACTTTCTCTTTCTCTTTCCTTCCTTTACCACATAAACATAGTTGAGCAAGTGTCCTTGCGGTGTAGTGGGGCATCTATTGGGCATATGACCAGGAGTGGTATAGTTGGGTCTTGAGGTAGAACTATTGCCAATTTTCTGAGAAACTGCTGAATTGATTTCTAGAGTAATTGTATAAATTTGCACTCCCACCAGCAATGGAAGAGTGTTCCACTTGCTACATATCCTCACCAGCATGTGCTATCACTTGAGTTTTTTATCTTAGCCATTCTGACAGGTATAAGATGGAATCTCAGAGTCATTTTGATTTGTATTTCCCTGTGATGAAGGACACTGAGCACTTCTTTAAGTGCTTCTTGGCCATTAGAGATTCCTCTGTTGAGAATTCTCTTTTTAGCTCTGTACTTTATTTTTTAATTGGGTTATTTAGTCTGTTGGTGTTTAATTTCTTGAGTTCCTTACATATTTTGGAGATTAGCCCTCTGTTGGTGAAGATATTTTCCCATTCTGTAAGCTGCCATTTTGTTCTATTGACAGCATCCTTTGCCTTATAGAAGCTTTTCAGTTTCATGAGGTCCCATGTATTGATTGTTGATCTCAGTGCCTAAGCTGTTGGTGTTCTGTTCATAAAGTTGTCTCCTGTACCAATGCACAATGTACCAATATTTTGCATTTTCTCTTCTATTAGATTTGGTGTATCTGTTTTATGCTGAAGTCTTTGCTTCCCTAAGATTTAAGTTTTGTGTAGGGTGATAGATATGGATCAATTTGCATTCTTCTATGTGCAGACATCCAGTTATATCACCACCATTTGTTGAAGAGGCTTTCTTTTTCCATTGCATGGTTTTGGTTTCTTTGTCAAAAATCAAGTGTCCACAGGTTTGTGGATTTATTTTTGGGTCTTTGGTTCTACATTGATCAACCTGTCTGTTTTTATGACAGTACCATCTGGTTTTTATTAGTATTCCTCTGTAGTACAGCTTGAGATCAGGGATGGTGACATCTCCATAAGTTCTCTCATTGTACAGAATTGTTTTAGCTATCCTGTTTTTTTTTTTCTCCTTATGAAGGTGAGAATTTCTCTTACAAGGTCTGTAAAAAGTTGTGTTAGAATTTTGATGGGAACTGCATCGCATCTGTTGATTGCTTTTGGTAAGATGGCCATTTTTTTCCTGTGTTAATCCTACTGATCCATGAACATGGGAGATCTTTCTATCTTCTCTGATATCTTCAATTTATTTCTTCAAAGACTTGAAGTTCTTGTCATACAGGTCTTTTACTTGCTTGGTTAGAGTCATACCAAGATATTTTATAATATTTGTGGCTGTTGAGAATGGCGTTGCTTCCCTAATTTCTTTCTAGGTTTGTTTACTGTTTGTATGAAGGAGAGCTACTGATTTTTGAGTAAATTTTGTGTTCAGCCACTTTGCTGAAAGTATTAATCAGCTGTAGGAGTTCACTGGTAGAATTTTGGGGGTGACATATATATGATTATATCATCTGCAAATACCAATATTTTGACTTCTTCCTTTCCAGTTTGTATCCATTTGATCTCCTTTAGTTGTCTTATTGCTCTAGCTAAAACTTCAAGTACTATGTTGAATAGATGTGGAGTGTCTAGTCCCTGATTTTAGTGGAACTGCTTTAAGTTTCTCTCCATTTAACTTAATGTTGTCTATTGGCTTACGGTATGTAACTTACATTGTGTTTGGGTATGCACGTTGTATCCTTGATCTCTCCAAGACTTTCATCATGAAGGAGTGTTGGGTTTTGTTGAAGGCTTTTTCAGCAACCAGTGAGATGATCATGAGGTTTTATTTCTTTCAGTTTTTGTTTATATGGTGGATTACATTGATGGAGTTTTATATGTTGAACCATTCCTGAATCCCTGGGATGAAGCCTACTTGATCATGGTGGATAATGTTTTTGATATGTTCTTGGATTCTGTTTGTGAGTACTTTATTGAGTATTTGTGCACCAATGCTCATGAAGAAAACTGGTCTGAAATTCTCTTTTTTTGGTTGAGTCTTTGTGTAATTTAGGTGTCAGGATGACTGTGGCTTCATAGAATGAGCTTATCAATGATTCTTCTGATTCTACTTTGTGGACTAATTTGAGGAGTATTAGTATTAGCTTGTCTTTGAAAGTCTGGTAGAATTCTGAGCTAAAATCAGGTGGTCCTGGGCTTTAAAAAAGACTTTATTATTACATTATTATTAATTTTTTTCATTAGTTATTTATTTTTATTATATTATTATTTATTTTATTATTATATTTATAATTATATTATTAAAGACTTTTTAATAACTGCTTCTATCTCCTTAGGGGTTATAGGTCAATTTAAGTTGTTTACCTGATCATGATTTAACTTTGGTAAGTGGTATTTATCAAGAAAATCATCCATTTTATTTCAATTTTCCAATTTTGTGGGTACAGGTTTTTGAAGTAAGACTTAATGATATTTGGTGTTCTGTAAGCTTCTTGTATGGTTATAGGCATCTCTTTCTTCAAGTTGGGGAAGTTTTCACCTATGATTTTGTTGGAAATATTTTCTAGGTCTTGGAGCTGAGAGTCTTCTTCTATCCCTTTTATTCTTATGTTTCATCTTTTCATAGTTTTCCAGATATCTTGGATGTTTTGTATGAAGAACTTTTAAAATTTAACATGTTCTTTGACTAATATATTGACTTCTTCAACTGTCTCTTCTATGCCTGAGATCCTCTCTTCCAGCTCTTGTATTCTGTTGGTGATGTCCCCATCCATCTGTAGTTCCTTCTTTTCTCCTTAGGCTTTTCATCTACACTATTCCCTCAGTTTGTGTGTGTGTTTTTTTATTATTTTAATTAATTCATTAATTTATTCACTTAACATTCTTATTGTAGCCCCTCACTTCTTGTTTTCTTTATTCTTCTATTTCCACTTTCTACTCTTGAACATTTTTATTCATTTCCTTCATGTGTTTGATTGTATTTTCCTGAATTTGAGAGCTTCATTCATTTCCTCTGAAAGGCCTCTATCATCTCTATAAGATTGGATTTGAGGTCATCTTCTTGTGCTTTGGCTTTGTTAGGATATCGAGGGCTTGCTTAGCAGGATAGCTAGGCTCCGGTGGTGCCTTATTGTGCTGGCTCTCGTTGATTGTGTTTTGATGCTGGCTTTTATCCATCTGTTTTTCTCTGGTGTTTGATGGATGCTCCTGATGCTGTAGGGACTCCTTGGAGATGTAGGCAGAGCTTTTGACCTTACAATGGAGCTCAGGGAATGGCCACTGCTCACCTCTGCTGGCTGTGCCCCAGGTGTGTCTGTATGTTTCTGGGGTCCTGCAAGCCTCCTTGTGAAGGGAGGCAGCGCCGGAGGCCTTTCAAAGGACCTCAGGGGACAGACTGCAGCTCACCTCTGCTGGCTGTGCCCCAAGTGGACTTGGCAGGCAAAGGAATGGTGAGGTGGAGTCTAACCTCGGTGTTCCTGGGGCCCAGCGTGCCCCCTTGGCATGGCAGGTGATGGAACTCAAGGGACCCTGGAATTACTTTTACCTGTAAGAATATAACAAAAAGGAAGTTAATGACAGCTTGACTTATTCTTAAAACATAGTTTTTAGTCTTTATCCAACTTTAAAAGTTAATCAAGAAAGATATAAAACTCAGAGCACAATTAAGTAGAAATTCATAGCATAAATATGGTAAATAGCATTAATCCCTTTCCAATTATTATTATTTATATAAAAAATATTTTGGGATGACAATTAACAAACCTAAATGAACATTTCATAATTATGCTTGAACATCATGACAATTCAAACTCTCCTAAGATAATCCAGCCACCTAAGTCCATTTTGTTTAATCGTACAAATGAAAGTGGGCAAATAAACACCAAGGAACACCCTCCTCTGATCTCTTTGTGTATTCAAAAAGTATGGAACATCCCAGACCAGCGAGGAGCCACCAGCAGCTTTTAAAATAAACCAGAAATTTGAATTTCTGTCACTACGGTGTAGTAGTAAACATGACCCAAGTAACTCACATGGAATGTAGACCTTAAGAACAAGGTTATCTTGTTACTGATCAAAAGTGGAGAATAGGAGCCATGTATCTTGATAATGGCAATATGTCAACATGTTTTTTTCTCAAATGCTTTTATTACATGTATGTCTCTTGCAATTAATTGGGCTCATTTTTAGACACAGGATGAGTTTAACATGTGCTGTTCTAGGGCAGAAGTTCTACTGAAGGCATCAAGTTCTTATCAGTTTAAGGTTTGTTCTTAGCACAATCAAAAGTCATACACACACATATATAGTGTGTATGTGTGTAATATATATTTGTGTGTGTATACTATGTGTCAGGTTAAAAATTATACATATATCTGTAGAATTAACCTTCTATATTAGATTGAGTATCTGGCATCAAAAAGCAATTATACTTAGAAGTTAAAAGTCAGAAGTGAAGCCAGGCATGGTGGCGCACAGCTGTAGCTCTAGCACTTGAGGAAGTAGAGGCAG